ATTCTCTCTAAAACGTAATGTTGCCAGGACTTAAGAGCATTATAGTATCTCAATTAGCATATGATTTGCTGCAACATTGTTGGCTGCAGTTTGTCTGGACATTTACAGTCTTAAAATTGAAAGATTATGGCTAATGTTCAATCTTTCTTTCGTCTTGATTGATAGTGCTAGACTTCTGTTGACATGTATGTCTTTTGTACTTGAACTTGAGTTTAATACATTTGTTGTTCTCCTAGAAACTTCACAATTACTTAGTGTAATGAAATCTTAAAGAGTTCAACATGTATATTGAAAAGTCATCACTGAGGTTTTCTGCAATATTCTGTGTAGTTTTCTGGAAAAATCAGTAAAAGCCTCCTATGCTTGCTTGAACTTGTAATTGTTACATAGATCCCTTTAAGTTTTAACTCACAGTTGGTTTCTGAGTAATCATCTTTTATTTTTGCTTAGGAATGCCTCTGGTGCCAAACCTACTGGTCTTTGTCGTTTATCTCAACTGAGAGTTGCTGATTTCTCCTTCAACTTCTTCTTTGGTAGCATACCGAAGTGTCTGGATTACCTTTCAAAGTATAGTTCTTAATTCTGATCCACAAGCATTTTTTATACTCTTTATTTCAGTTTCTGAGTGCCTATTATTTTGTTCTTTCTGTAGAACTAGCTTTCAAGGAAATTGCCTTCAAGCAAAAGATCCCAGGCAGCGTTCTACTGCTTTATGTGGTATGTGTAATCTGCTAGACAACTCTTACACTTCAGCGGAATCACTAAACAAGCCTTTGAATCTTTTATGCATACATAAGTGTGCAAAAATGCCAGCTGGTCATGCGTACTTTAGATTCTATATCCTAAAGGGGCTTCTGCAAATAAGTTTGCCCATTTCACTAACAGTCGCAGTTGAACAGATCAACTTTGAAATAATTGAATTGATTGTTGTAACTTTTGCATTATAGGAGGCACTCCACCTGCCAAAAGCAATCCAGCACAGAGCAATAATAAGCACCGGACTGTTGATGGAAGAGACAAACATAAGTCTGCTTCAAAACCTACCTGGCTTTTTGTGTTAGAACTGGTAACTGGAGTTATTGCAGGTTCTCTCTTCCTTGTGGCTATTCTGGCTGCCATTCAGAAGTGTAAGAACAGATCTTCAATTATCATCCCTTGGAAGAAATCAGCAAGTATGAAAGACCATTTGAAAGACCATATGGAAGTTTATGTAGGTGAGTACCATGCAATTTCAGTTAAGAATTATTGACTTAGGAAAAATGGTTTCCTTGGAAAACATTTTCCAGAAAATAAGTGGATTTCTTACTTATTATCTTGTGTTCGGTGCATAAGTAGACAACATCACCCTAATAGGATTTGTATATAATCTAGACAAATACTATGGCAGATGGGGTAGGGGTCCTGGGTGGTGGCGATGGGGCTTACGGAGTGGGGAGTGGGGGGTGAAGATGAGGTGTGTTGAGGGTGGGGAAGACACAATTGATGTGAAATACCACTTGTGGAACTCGTTTTTACTACCTCTACTGAACACATCTTTAATTCTTTCTCATATAGGATCTGATCTTCAATTTAGTACAACTAATGTTTCTTTTACTTCAGTTATCTTTTACTATTATTGTTGTTTATAAGCAAACTAACTTGTCCTCATTCACATTTATGTCCTCCAACTTTGAGTGTGCACAAGTAGGCACCTAAACTTGTATAAAGTTGAACAAATAAACACACACGTCCTACATGACATCCTACGTGACAATTTGTATCCTACGTGGTGTCCTATGTTTATTATGCCACATTGGACTCATGTGCCTACTTGTTCAACTTTACACAAGTTTAAGTGTTTGCATGTGCACATCCAAAGTTAAATGACATAAGTATGAAATGAGGCCAAGTTAAAGAGCACCTAATGTATTATGCCTTCTTTTCTGTGATATTTTCACAATAACTTCTTTATTCTTGTATTTTCAAAACCTGTTTTGGAAAATATTTTTTCTTGAACCGAGGGTCTGTTGGAAACAACTTTTCTACCTCCACAAAGGTAGGTTTAATGTCTGCATACACCTCACCCTCCCCCGACCCCACTTGTGAGGTCACATAGAGTTTACAATCACAAGTTCAGAAGCATTAATTGTAATTTGAATTTCTATTGGTAACAAATGTTTATTTGTCAGATACTGAGATGCTTAAGGACGTTGTAAGATATAACAGACAAGAACTTGAGGTAGCTTGTGAAGACTTCAGCAACATTATTGGATCCTCACCAGACAGCTTGGTCTATAAAGGAACTGTGAAAGGCGGACCTGAATTAGCTGTAATTTCCATTTGTGTCAAAGAAGAGCAGTGGAACACCTTTCTAGAGGTTTATTTTCAGAAAGAGGTGAAGCCTGTTCTCTCCTTAAAATACATGGCTACTGCTAAGCTCTGTCCGCAATAAAAATTTCATCTTTGCTGCAATGCTCTAACCTGTATGGCCTACAAACTCAGGTAGCAGAATTGGCCAGAATAAATCATGAGAACACTGCTAAACTTCTAGGTTACTGCAGAGAGAGCAGTCCCTTCACAAGGATGTTGGTGTTCGAGTATGCATCTAACGGGACTTTATATGAACACCTCCATTGTGAGTGGGAAAACTATTTTTTTACACATTTGCTTGCTGTATGTTTTAGAAGCTGAAATCCAAACTCTTTGAACTTATCACAGATGGAGAAGGATGCCAACTTTCTTGGACGCGGCGAATGAAAATAGTTCTTGGCATCGCTGAAGGACTGAAATATCTCCATTCAGAACTTGATCCCCCATTCACTATATCAGAACTGAATTCAAATGCTGTGTATCTCACAGAAGATTTTTCTCCCAAGGTAAGCGAACGATTTCAGTATTACTGCTGCAAAACCAATTCGCTGTTAAACTTTCTGGTTAATCTTACTGTCAGTTATGCTCATCCATAAGACAATTTTAGTTTACTCTCCACGGTTTCTGCTCATTTTGTCTTTGAACTAGCCGAGTTTCCTTACAAACAATTTGGGCTTACATTTTTCCATTTTTTGTTTCCTTCAAGCTCAACCTTTTGTGCCTTTTAACCCCCCTTCCATATCCTTTTCTCTCAAAGTTTAATTTATCTGGCGCAGCTTGTTGATTTTGAAAGTTGGAAAACAACATTTGCCAGATCAGAAAAGAACTCGGGTGCTATCAGTGGTGAAGGATCAATGTGTGTCCTTCCAAATTCTCTACAGAGCCGTCATCTTGACATGCAGGGTAACATCTATGCATTTGGAGTACTACTGCTTGAAATAATCAGCGGAAGACCTCCATATTGCAAAGACAAAGGGTGCTTAGTAGATTGGGTAAGCATTTCTTTCCACGTGAGAAGTTTTTGTATATGATAAAACTCTCTATGTAGAACGCAGACTCGTGCTTTATGGAATCTCAAGTTGACTTTGATATGGCAGGCCAAGGAATTCCTTGAATTGCCAGAGGTATTGCCATATGTTGTAGATCCCGAGTTGAAACATTTCAGATACGAAGACCTTAAAGTGATATCTGAAGTGGTCAATCTCTGTATCTGCCCAAATTCGAGTAGCAGGACTTCGATGAAAGATTTGTGCGCTATGCTGGAGAGTGATATAGACACATCCATAACTGCAGAGCTCAAGGCATCGTCTTTAGCATGGGCTGAGCTTGCACTCTCATCCTAACCGCCAAAGCTAACCGTATACATACATACATACATATATCATAGGTGTCTAGTACATTTTCAATCCTTTTTGTTATTTTCTTTGTAATCTCTTGATCCATTCTCCTTTCTAATATTTTGGAGTTGTGGTAAAGTTCATGCAAATTTTGCATGCTGGTTAGAAAGTATTATGTAGAGTCCAAAAGTTGCTAGTTTTGATCCTTTGTATACAAACTGGAACTACAATGACTTGAGTGTTAAATAGTGAATGAAAGTCCATTTAGCAATTGTCCTTCTTCTTGGTTGTGGAAGCACAAGTTATAATGTCACTAGTCAAAAAATTTCAGCTTACGAATTATATATCAAAAGACTTGAAACATTGAGAAGATTTTATATCTAAAATTTAGGATTGTTTAGAGGTGATTTTGGATTGATTGAGATTGAATCATGATTGTATATTTCATGTATAATCAGTGTATGAGTTAAACTATGTTAATTTTTTTGAGTATATCATAATGTATAGATAGATAAGCTATATTGTATTAGTGAAGATGGAGTAAAAGATCCCGAAGAGAATTGTGCGAAAATATAAGCACGAAGAGTCCATTGGGACACTTGGGTGTGGACATGAATATCATACACGTCTTATCAAACAATGGTTACTGGAAAAAAAAATTGTCCCATGTGTCGAGCTTCTATTTTGCCATGAAAACATAGCATACAGAAATTGTTTTATTATATAATTTCGTTGTGTTAAAATTAGTAACACAGTTAATTATTCTCGAGTAGTGAATGTAACTAACTATATATTTTTGATAATTACAAGAACAATTTATTTCCTATTCCTAAATATTGTTAAGCGACTACAAATTTTCATGTCATCTACATTTAGTTTATGCTTGTATTTCTTATATTGTTGGCAACTGAAAGCATGTATAATTACAAATTGAAATTCAGAATTTTAACATTCTCATATTTTGACTATTTTTCTCTCTCTAATATTTGGTATGATAAATTCATGACTAGAAATCTTTACACATTCCTTTCAAAATGGGAGGAAAATAATGAGTTTTATAAGGTAAGACAAGTTCACATGATACACACGCTTTTGGGTTCGATGATGGAGTAGCCGAAGTTACAAACTCGTGAGTTCTATGTGTTCAAAGTTAAAAATATAAAGCATGGCTTGAATCGTGGCAGATATTATCAAACCCAAGAGACAAATCCGTTAGGTTGTTGGGTCAAAGCGAATAATATATGTCATGTGCTGAGTCTTGACATTTTTACATGAGAATTGTCTAGGCAAATATGATAAAAGAGTGAATAATTAACGAGAAGTAGAACTTCTTCTACTCATAAATTTACAACAAAAATAACGCATCTCTAAAATCCTCTTTTTCATCTACAAGTCCTATTTTATAAAAAAAAAAACTGTTGAAGAATTTGCACTATGTATTATGTTACTCATGATCTTTTTAAGAGGGAGAAATATACTTTATTCATTTTCTATGTCAATGCATGATTAACGATATTCATCAAAATTATTTATCTTCTTTATAGGGATTCATATAAATAAATTTTCTTATTCATAATTTTCACTGAGAATGTTTAAAATCTAAAAAGTATACCCTTCTTTTACGTTTCTCCCACATCGAGTTCAGAGAGACGTTTGCAGGAGAATAAGAAATGAAGCGAAGCAATGGGGTTTGTCTCTTCGGGGACATCCGATAAAATTGGAACGATACAGAGAAGATTAGCATGGCCCCTGCGCAAGGATGACACGCACAAATCGAGAAATGGTCCAAATTTTTTTGCCCGCCGTCGGCGCTGGTGCTCCGGTCAGTCTGTATTTTTTTTGCCGGCCGTCGGCGGCGCGTAATCTATTCGGAGATTCAATAAGTACATAGTGATTCTGTTTTACTTCCTTGGTTTAGATTTAATTTGCATCTGTAGTTTTATCAGAATCCCCAAAATCATGTTTTTGCTAATTAGGTTTAGCTATGTGATTGAATAAGTTTTATTTTTGGTAATTCTCTTGTAGTTGGTTACAATCACAATCATTTTGGTTTAGATGTTGAATCGAGCACCGGTCCGAACAAATAACACAGCCTTCATTGCTATGATTGCTGATGAGGTGATTCATTATTTAATCTTTCATTAATAATCAATATGCTTCAATATGTATCTTTACAATTTGAATCTGTTACCTAAAAGTAGTGACCTAGGTCAGGATTAGGTTAAAAGGTTAGTAGGCAAACAGAGTGTTGTCGCACTTCCTTTCCTTTTCTTCTATGTCTATTAGTATTAGTTGATTTCATTTTCATTTGTATCTTGCTGGTTTGCCTGTCATATTTTCTTGCTACCACACTTCAATGTATGTTTTCTTTTCTGTCGAAACGAGGGTCTATCGTAATCAACCTCTCTATTCCACAAAGGTAAGGATAAGGTCTTGTAAATCCCGTACCCTCTCAGACCTCACTTGTGGGATTATATTGGGTATGTTGTTGTTGAAAAGGATTCGTTGTAGTAAATGATGGTGTGTAAAATTGGATTGAATATGTTCTTAAATCTTATTGCTGATTCCTTTTTTTTCTTGGTAGGTAAAATATTTCATTACCAAATGAACATTACAGATCAGTAACACAAGCAAACTGGACAGCTCCCAGTTTTGCAGCAACTTTCAATCTCTACTATCTTTACAATCAGTTCCTTGCTACAATATCACTATCACAGGGTAGAAATTCAGAGTTTACAATACATAGCTTAGTCTTGGTTTTGTTCTTCCTCTTATATGTACCTCTTGAACAACCTGTTTTGCCAGCATTGCAGGGGTTCTTGTTATCTTTCGGAAAATTCGTTGGTTCCTCTCCTGCCAAATAAGATAAGCACTTGCAGCCAGTGCCATCCTATATACCTCAGCTCTTGCTTGCTTGCTTTTGCGTTAGGCATTTACTCGAGTTATTTCCTATTCCCATCCTCGAGCCCCTCCCTATGGATACTTTGCCAACAGAGTACCTTCTGCCACACCTGAGATGAGAACAGACACCGAAAGAATATACAATTATGGCTCTCATCTTCAGTTCCGCATACGCCACAGTGAACATCTTCTGCACAGCCAGATGTTGCTAATCGATCCCCTGTGAGCAGCCTGCTTTGTAATGCTAAGTATAATATGGAAATCCGCTTAGGACAAGCTGCATCGTTACAAGTCAGTTTCCTCCACTCCACCTTCTGGTAATTTCCTCTAAGAGCTTTATATAGTTGTTTTATAGAAAATTTATCGATCTGGTTGGCATACTCCTCATTCCAGCCAATAACTTCTAGTTCTTTGTGTATTTGGAGTATTTTCCTCTCCATCCATGAAGCTTGAGGTGCTAGAACATCCCATAAGGTTCCTTGTTTCCCATAGTACATATGAACCCATTTCACCCATAGTCTATCTTTTTTAGTACTCAAACTCCTTTGTAACTTGTTTATTGCAGCCTTATTCCATGTTTGGATATCCAGTAAATTGAGTCCGCCTGCAGTTTTAGAACTACATAGTTGCTCCCATGCTATAAATGCCTTCCTGGATGCATCTACCCTCCTGTCCATAGAGATGTCCTACATAATATTTCAATAAATTTGCTTACTGCTGATTGTAACAAACTACAAAGTGGAAATAGTAGGTATCAAGTATACTGGTAGTGTTATGGCCCCTTATCAACACGTCATGTTCTTTTATCATATTTCAATTACAGGGAAGTTGGAATTTTATATTCATATTCTCATTAGCGTACCTAGAGAACTTGATATGATTGTCGATTCAAGTATGTTTTCAACTTTTTGTTCTCTCTAATGTTGAGATTTCGTAGCTGAAAAAATTATGGAAGAAAGAAAATTGAGGTTGCTTGATTAGGGTTGTTAAGTCCTTGTGAGGTGATGGAGATTTTACATTTTGTATCACTCTAATTTGTTTTTTTAAGAATGATGTAATGTATATTTCCGTTTCTTATGGTTTAGATATATCAGTGAAGCAGATTGGAGATGCTTTTATGAATTCACCACAAGAGAGGACATTGCTATACCGTTAATCAGCCAATATGTGAGTTTTTATTCTATTTTGCCTCTTGTTTATGGCAGCAGCCGTAACATCATTTCAACTGCTGGTTTTAACTTTTACATGGAGAGTGTAGAATAATTAGCATGTTAGTGCTGATTGGAGGTAAGACAGTGTAGCTATGAACATGTGGAGTTGCTCATCACAGGGAAAAATTTAACTGTCCTAGACCCAAAGGTAGCTTGACGTGAGAAACCTGATTGAGAAGCGGAAAATAAATTAATCAGAGTTTGAAATAGGAAGCTAGGTGTCGTAAAAAAAACTTTCATGTGACAGTTCCACCACTTGCCTGGTTTACTTGTATTTCTAAGTCAACCTTGAATGGTGTGTGGCCCTCGAAGGGGGAGCCTTGGAGCAACAATAAAGCTGTCTCGGTATGACCTATAAGTCATGGGTTCGAGCTGTTTAGAGTAGTTATTTTAAGAAACAAAAGCCATAACATGAACAATATCAAATTATAATGCAACACTTACTTTTCCAGCATTGTTTGAAAAGCCATTGAAGAATTCTTGGTGACATTACTATCATTTTTCTTTTATATATATATATATATATATATATATATATATATATATTTATATATATATATATTTTTTTTTACTAACAATTTAAATATCCTCTATTTACAATAAAAATAATATATTAGTGGGAAACTAATTATGTTCCCTTTACTTCTCTTTACCTTACCATTCCTAAAGAAACAAGGAGAAATAACAAAATAGGAAACTTTTTGTTTCCGCCTTAAGTTTCCAAAACAAAGCAAAAATAGGAAATTAAATCCTTAAATAGTAGGAGAAGTAAATAAAATAGGAAATAAAACCCTTAAATTGTAGGAGAAGTAAATAATTAAGTTTCCAGAAAACAAACTAGGAATATCCATCTCTATATATACTCTGTTCTTCACCCTCATACTCTATTCCTTTCAAAAAAAAATAAAAATTCGTAGTTAGAAAATCTGGTGTTGAACAATGAGTAACTCGCAACGTAGAGTTGGAAATAGGAGTAGGCCATTCCCCTATGATCGTTCTTCCATTAGAAGACAACGCGATCATCCCCTCGTTTCTGAATTACAAGTTACAATTACTCCACACAGTCGCGAAATTACAATTGTTTATGTCAGTAGTCGTGATTTAGTGGAAAGGGCCGTAAGGGAGCAGTATGCAGACTATTTCAATGGCGGATTATCACAAAATTCTTCAGATGATTTTCAACTCGTAAGTGAACTACTGTCTGATGATGAACTACTGTTTGTTGATCAAGAGGCTAATACGGAGGAGAAAGAGGACGATGCTATATTATTGAGCTATTTTAAAACAAGAATTCATCGTCTTGCTGATGGTGTAAATAATCCCACTGAAACTGAAGAAATTTGTGCCATATGTCAAGCAGGATTTGAGCATGAAGAGTCCATTGGGACACTTGGGTGTGGACACGAACATCATACAAGTTGCATCAAACAATGGTTGTCGAGGAAAAAAAATTGTCCCGTGTGTCGAGCTTCTGTTTTGCCCCAAAATACATAAGCATAGAGAGATCTGTTTTATTATGAAATTCTGTCGAATTGATCTCAAGTTATGGATGTAACGTACTATACATTTTTTTTTATATATATACAATAATTTGTTTCATATCCTAAATATTGTTAAGAGACCATGAATTATCAAATCATATATATTGATGCTTGTATAAAGTTTGTCAATTAGTTTATTTCTTATAAAATATTTCCAAATTCTCCACACAGAATGATGTAAAAGAGAACATGTCAATGGTTTGATCTCCATGCACAATTGGACAATATAAATGCCTCTAAGTACACTCTCTTCCAAGATTTTCTTAATTGTTACGCGCGTTTTTAGACTCGGTGATGTTGTATACAAGGTACAAACTCGTGAGTTCTATGTGCTCAAAGTTAAAAATACAAATCATAGGCTTGGGTCGTGTGGCTGACATATATTGTCGCGTTCAAGAGATAGATCCGTTAGGTTGTTGAGTTAAAGCCGATGATGCATGTCATTAACTTGAGTCACAACATCTTCACAGTACTATATGAGAATTGTCTAGGTAAATGTGATTAAAGAATTAGTAATTAATCAGAAGTAAAACTTTTGCTACTCATAAATTTATAAATAAAAATGATCTATCTCTAAAATCTCATCCTTTTCATTTACGAGTTCTATTTTACAATGACAAAAAAAAATTATTGAATGTGTAACTCATCATGATCTTCTTAAGTGGGAGAAATACAAGTTATTTATTTTCTCTGTCAATTAAATGTGTGACTTAAAGATATTCAACAAAATTATTTATCTTTTTGTAGAGTTTCATAATAAATAAATTTACTCATTTATAATTTTCATTAAAAAAATTTAAAATCTAATGAAATAAACGTACGAAGGAAAGTCCACATTAATTATATATACGTAAAAATAATAATTTAACTACATATAGATAATTATTCGCAAAGAAGGTTCGAATGTGTATATATTGTTTACTAATAATTTAAATACCCTCTATTTACAAAAAAAAAAAAAAAGTTAGTGGGAAATTAATTATGTTCCCTCTATTTCTCTTTACCTTAAATCCTATTTCTAAAAGAAACTAAGAGAAATAAATAAAATACAAAGGAATTTTTTTTTCCCGCCGGAAGGAGTAAATAATTCGTCGACAGAAACTAAAGAGATTTGTGTCAAATGTCAAGCGGAATTTGAGCATGAAGAGTCCATTGGGACACTTGAGTTTGTGGGAACGAATATCATACAGGTTGCATCAAAACAATGATTGTTGAGAAAACAAATTGTCCCATGTGTCGAGCTTCTGTTTTGCCCAGCAATACATAGAGTATAGAAATTATTTTATTAAGAAATCCCGTTGTATTGAAGTTGTTGATGTAACACACTATACATCTTTGATATATACAAAGAACAATTTGTTTATGTAGACACTAGTAATGTGATATATTGATGCTTGTATATCGATTAGTTTATTTTCGGTTGATTGTCCTATATTTAGTTTATGTAGTCAGTAATATTTATCGTAACAACTAAATTTCATCCCTAACTGATTAGTATTAGATGTATAGATTCTTTAGCATCCATTTGTGTTGCCTTTATGAGGTTGTTAATATTTGGGCATTTTGTGTCCTACTTGTTACCTTGCATCGATGTAAGTATCAAAATAACATTTCAAACAACATGAGGAGTTAATACAACAATATATTAAATAACTATGTTCCCCGAAAATTAGATATTTAGGTAACTAAATTTTGAAATGTCACGATCCAAGCTCATGACATATGTTGTCCGCTTGGACCAAACAATCTAATGGTTTTGTCTCTTGAGATAATATATGTGACGACAGACGACTTAAGCCCATGGTTCGTATTGTTAGTTGCATAAACTAAATGTCAATGATAAGGTAATTCGTGGTGTCTTAACAATATTTAGGATAGGAAACAAATTGTTATTGTATTTATAAAAAAATATTTAGTGCGTTACATCCACTACTTGAGAATAACTAACTGTCTTACTACGTTTAATACAACGAAATTTTATAATAATAAAACAATCTCTATATGCTATGCTTTAAGGGCAAAACAGAAGTTCGACACATGGGACAATCTTTCTTCCTCATCAACCATTGTTTGATGCAACCTGTATGATATTCATGTCCGCACCCAAGTGTCCCAATGGACTCTTCATGCTCAAATTCCGCTTGACATATGGCACAAGTTTCTGTGGGATTGTTTACACCATCAGCAGCACGAAAAATTCTTGTTTTAAAACACCCCAATAATATAGCATCGTCCTCTTTCTCCTTCGTAGAAGCCTCTTGATCATCAAACAATTCACTCTCTCGATCATCAAACAGAAGTTCACCATCAAAATCATCTGAAAAATTTGGTGACGATCCGGCATTGATATAGTCTGGTACATGCTGCTGCCTTAATGCCCTTTCCACTAAATCACGACTACTGACGTTAATAATTGTAATTTCGTCACTGTGTGAAGTAATTGTGGCTTGTAATCCCAAAATGAAGGGATGATCATATCGTCTTCTTCTGTAAGAACGATCATAGGGGGATCGCCTACTTCTACTTCCAATCCTACGCGAATTCACAAACATAAATTGAGAGCTACTCATTGTTCTAAGCTAGATTCCCTAACTATGATTTTTTTCTTTTTTTTGAAGAAACAGAGTATGAAGGTGAAGAACAGAGTATATATAGAGTTTGGTATTCATATTTCTTTTATGGAAACTTATTTGTTTCCTATTTTATTTATTTCTCCTACCATTTAAGGATTTAATTTCCTATTATGTTTAGGAACCTTTTTTTTTTCTGTTTTGGAAACTTGCGGAAACAAAAAGTTTCCTACTATTTTATTAATTTCTCCTACTTTCTATTGGAATAGGATTTAATTTAAGGTAAAGAGAAGTAGAGAGAACATAATTGATCTCTAATTAATTATTTTTTTCTAAATAGAGGCTATTTAAATTATTAGTTAAAAAAAAATTGGAGCATATAGTAATGTCACCAAGAATTCTTCAATGACGTTTCCAAGAATGCCGAAAGGAAAGCGGAAAAAACTTACCTGCACTGGGTGTTTACACCAAGTCAACGCAATCTCCATTAGTATTAGTATGTAGTGCATACACGTTCTCCAATTGCTCAACCAACACAGAAGAAATGGTCAAGCCAAAACAGCACACCAAGCCTTGACACCCTCTAAATCAAAAAACAACAAGTGTAAATGTGTCGTTGGTATCTAACATGTTGTCAATAAGTCATTGAAGTCGATACAACCGTTATGTTCCTTCCTCTCATTCTTACAGCAAATGTAGCCACGTACCACCTATTCTAATCGCTCCATCCCTTGTTACTGGTATCACTTCATCGATAGAGACGTCAACACCAGCATCCTTTTTCACTGTCCAACGAGTATTCTCTCTGACACTAAGATCAAAACAATCCTTACAATCATCAAAGTCTGTGATCAAATAATCATAAGTTTTACAAGTATATGCAGTCCATACAACAGAAAAAATCTGATGGTGTTTTGCATAAGCTCTCAGGATAAGGCTCAACATATTCTTGTGGAGAAGCTACATGACATCTATGTCGACGAAGTGGCCCCTACCTTCAAGTAGCAACTTCTAGGCTAAAAGTTTATCATCGGGACAAGAACTGTTAACATTTTATGGCATGTTACGATCAAGAAACTCAAAACAGGATACATGGATGTAAAATTGGAGGCATGATTTTGTCAGAATCGATGTTTTTTTGTTGAACCAAGTGTTTCTTATGAATAATAGTATATTGTCCAATTACGAATGGAGATCAAACCACTGATAGGGAACATGTTTCTGGCTATCCCCCATTGATTTTGGCATTGTACAGGAAAAGCAAAAGCAAAAACGAAATCCCCATTGCAACCTCTGGCTATCCCCCCATTCCCTGCCTTATCATATATCATAGCTCTCATCGGTATTAATCTTGACAGTTCTCAGATTCGGCATTGTCCAAAGGACCATCCTGCTAATGGTATTTGGCCTGAGTCTCACTACAATGTCACAAATTTGGACCCATGGATAGTCTATTTTAAAGCAAATCCTTAACCACTTTGCTATATTAAGTGTTTCACAAATTCAAAGCTATGGCGTCATACCTCCAATAAGCACTAACATGCTAATTTATTCGACATTCTCCATGTCAAAGTTAAAAGCAGCAGTTGAAATGATGTACGGATTCTGCCATATTGCCCAATGTCCTCCCTTGAGATGAATTCTTTAAAAGCATCTTCAATCTGCTTCACCATTACTTATAAACCATAAGAAATGGAAATATATATATATACATTACATTCTTTCTAAAAAAAATAGAGTGATAAAACAAGCAACCTCGATTTTCTTTCATTCATAAGTTCTTCAGCTATTAAATCACAATAATAAGTTGAAAACATACTTGAATCGACAACAAGATAGTTAGTTTCCCTCATCGAATCAACATTACCAACTCCTGCTAGTAAAAAAATTCCTGTGATTGTATCCTACATTAACAATTTCTAAGTACGCTAATCAGCTGAAAACAACATGAATTTAAAATTCCAATTTCCCTGCAATTGGAATAAGATAAAAAGAATTGACTTGTCAATAAGGGTCCATTACACAACCAGTATACTTGATGTCTACTTATTTCCACTTTGGAGTTTGTTTGAATCACAAATTAGATTTAAGAACATATTCTATCTCATAACACTATCAGTTTCATACACCATCATTTACATCAACGAATCCATTCAACAACAACAACATACTCGCTGTAATCCCACAAGTGAGTTCCGGTGAGGGTAGGATGTAGACCTTAACTTTGTAGTGTAGAGAAGTTATTTTCGATAGACCCATGGCTCGACAAGAAAAGAAAAGGACTCGAAGCATGGTAGCAAGAAATATGACAGCAAAACAACAAGATTCAAACAAAATGAAACAACGGAAAGTAATAACCATAGAAGACAATATAACAAAGTGCAAGAATACTCTTACTAACCTTCTAACCTAATCCTGACCTCCACGCATTTTAGGTAACAAATTCAAATTGTAAAGATAGATATAAAAGCATATTGGTAATTAGTGAAAGGTTATATAGTGAATCATAGCAGTGAAGGCTGAGTTATTTGTTCTGATAGAAGCTGTATTAGCCATCTAAACTGAAATTACTGTAATTGTAACCAACAATTACAACAAAATAGTAAGTCAATCAAACGGCTTAACCTAATTAGCAAAAACATGAATTTGGGGATTCTGATCAAACTTCAGATGCAAATTAATTGGGGAAGTAAAACAGAATCAGAATGTACTGATAAAACTACAGATCCAAATTAAGTCTAAACCAAGGAAGTAAAACAGAATCACAATATATTAATTGAACTAGGTTTTTTTTACGAGAGGAGCCATGGAAATCAAATGTTGATAATATACTAATTGAATCCAGAAGAAACAGAAAATAAAACTGACTGAAAGACTCCAAATAGCTTACGCGCCGCCGACGGCCGGTAAAAAAAATACAGACTGACCGGAGCACCAGCGCCGACGGCCGGCAAAAAAATTTGGACCATTTCTCGATTTGTGCGTGTCATCCTTGCGCAGGGGCCATGCTAATCTTCTCTGTATCGTTCCAATTTTATCGGATGTCCCCGAAGGGACGAACCCCATTGCCTCGCTACATTTCTTATCCTTCTGCAAACTTCTCTCTGAGCTCGATGTGGGAGAAACGTAAAGGAAGAGTATATGTCGTTTTGGGTCCTTAAGTTTCAAAAAACAAATACTTTTAGTCCTATTTTACAACATTTATTTCAAAATAACCCATATTCTCATAAATTCAGTTTTTAAATACTCAATACTGGTAATTTTTGTAATTATGAAAAGCTAAAAAAAAATAAAATAGATTTCATGATCATAGAGAGGGTTACAAAAGTATTATTTTTGGGTTAATTACATCAAATATATTTACAAACTCCTTATACTAAAGAATCACTCTTGAGCGAAATAACTATTTATATATTGTTAAATCATTATTTTTATGTATATACAGTTGATGTAAAACTTTCTTCATATGTTTGCATTTTTAGATATTAAACCTCCTTAATGAAAATTATAAATAAGAAAATTTATTCATATGAAACTCTCTAAAGAAGATAAATAATTTTGATGAATATAGTTAGTCACACATTTAATTAACTTAGAAAATAAATAAAGTGTATTTCTCGGGCTTAAGAAGATCATGAGTTACATCATATATAGTGCAAATTCTTCAACAACTTTTATATGTATACAAAATAGGATTTGTAGATGAAAAAGAGGAAATTTCAGAGATAGGTTATTTTTGTTGTAAATTTATGAGTAGCATAAGTTCTACTTCTCGTTAATTTCTCAGTCTTTAGTCACATTTGCCTAGATAATTCTTATATAGTACTATAAAGATGTCACGGTCCAAGCACATTACATGTGTTATCTGCTTTGACCCAACAACCTAAAGGATTTGTCACTTAGCGTGTGTACCATAGAACTCAAGAGTTTGTACCTTGGCTACACCATCATTGAGCCCATAAGCGTGTATACCCATTGAACTTGTTTTATACCTTATAAAACTCATTATTTTCCTCTCCCATTTGAAAGAAATGTGTAAAGATTTCCACTCATATTAGGAAAAATTAGTCAAAATATGAGAATGTTGAAGCTTCTGAATTCCAATTTATAACAATGCTGACTAGTTTTCACTTTCTATTCAATCTATTTTGAGCTATAATTTATAAAAACATGATGTCATGACTCAGTGAACAAGAATCTGTTAATTTCCACTTTCTTGATGCAAAGAAGAAGATGAACAACAATTTTGAGAGTTTGCTTGAAGAAACAGAGTATATACTATATAGAGATCGATATATATTCCTAATTTGTTTAGAAACGTTATAATCCTTTTTGAAGGGAGAGAATATAATTAAAATATGGTAATTAATTTACCACTAAATTTTTTTAGAGAGGGTAATTAAATTATTATATATATATAAAGAAAAAAAATAATTAAGTAGAGAAAGATTGTTTCTGATAGACTCTCGATTCAAGAAAGTAGAAATAACTGAAATAATGACGGTCATGATAAAATGCTAAGGCAACCTTACAAATCATTTTAAACAACATTCATAATAAGTTATTTCGATAATTAAAGTGCAAAAAAATATATAAATAAAAAATCAAACTAAAAAGATAAAGAAACTATTTTATTAATTTAATTAATAGTAGAAAGAAATACGCCAGACAATGATAAACAACATAATGCCAATAAATTTGAGACCATTAGATGAACAATTTTGCAGGTAAGAAGTAAAACCATGTTTTTGCTCTCTTCTATGTCACGTAGATAGGTGAGCTTAAGATTTTCATCTCAACATCAACTTCACCAATTCTTATGGATTTTATTTGGGCAATCGAGATAATATTAAATTAATTTAGGAAAGAGGACTAAAAATACCTCTCGATTTTATTTTATTAATTAATTATATTCTCGTCGTTAAAATGAAGTTATTTTCATCCCGCCATGTACAAGTTTGTAGATAGCTGAGGTAAAAATATCTTTATTTTAATGACTAATAAAATAAAGTCAAAGAATATTTTTTAACCCTTTTCCCATTTATTTATTTTCATATATTCAAATCTTGTTGAGCAAAGTAATCCAATCGAGTAAATTAAGGTCCATGCAAGTTAGTCTAAATATCGTGATCGAAAAAGAAAATAAGTTACAAAAAAATAGTAATATAAATCGAAATAATTAACAACATACAATATTTAAAAATATATTGAAATTTTTGTTGACTCTCAAAGTTTCACAAATGTCACATAAATTGAGACAAATTTGAGTAATTTGCCCTTTTGTTTCAATTTTCTATATTTATTTTTAGTATTTTCTCCGTTTCATGTTATGTATTTTAAAAAATTATAGTAGTAATTCATAATAATCAACAACTTAAATTTCATATGTGGGCCATATAAATTGCAACACAAGAAAATAACATATATTATTTAAGAATTACGTACTATAAATCAAATTAACAATTTTAAAATACTTAAAAATCTATATAATAATATAAATCTGAATCATAGGGAGGCTGATGTGGCATGCTTCTAAAGTCAGGATACAAAATTTTGTTCTTTGATTTTTTTTTTTAGTTTTTTCTTAATTATCTATTTAATAATTTAAAAATCTATCATATTTATTATATTCAATTATTATTGATGAGTTACAAAAAAACATTCATCTTTTTGCATTTTCCACTTAAATAATGTGTCTTCTCAACTTCCTCCCTTATTCTTAGACTCAAACAATCTATAAATAACAATCATATATGAGTGTTTGATACTCAATATATTATTTTTGTGGTCAAATAATTTTTTTTTGTTTCACTTAATTTTCTTCTCTTTTAAGTCATCTGCAGCCACTCAAGTGGTCCGCATTATTCATTTAGACACCTCAACTAATCCTTGTGCCAATTGAACACTTTATTTGTTCAAAAGTCATTCCTATTAGACACAAAATGCTGACATGGCAAAAAACGTGTAATTCACTTTCTTTGAGCGCGTGAATTTATTAAAAATATATTTTTTCTTTTTTTTCTTAATTTATCCCCTAGTTAATTTTTAAAAAAAATTAATTAACAAAAATGAAGAAGGATAGTTGTCTTCTTCCCTCTTTCTATCATATCATTCTTTCACCATTTTTATCTTTTTTTTTTATTTACAGAGCACACCACACTCCCTCCACCTCTCTTTCTCTCACCCTCATTGTTCTTTCCTGCTTTCCTCTTTTTTCTTATATCGATTTTCGTCTCAAATATCTCGAAGAAGTTTCATTTACAATGATTAAAAAAATATAAATAGATTTTCTTGGGCAAAAGTATGTTAATTTTTTTTCAATTCTAATAAATAATTTCTAATGTATAAAAGATGAAGACAATGAGTGAAAATTTTAATGCTATCGAAATGAAAGAAAATGCATATTTAGCTTGAGACAACAATGGTGTGTCATTGTAGCTCCATTGAAGAGAAGAAAGAGATGGAGCGATACCAACTCCATGGAAAATCAGAAATGGGTTTCTGAAGAAGGAGGAAGAAAGTGGGGAGGGTGGAGAGGCTTTAATTAAAAATAATTTTTTAAATTTTTTTAAAATACTTTATGAATTAATTATATAGAGGTTTTAAAAAAAATTAAATGTAATGCCACGTGTCATCATATTATTGGTAAAATTAATATGAATTCGCGTTTGAA